GTTCCTGCACTTCTCGGCTTGACACAACCATGCAATAAGAAGCCTGCAAATGTCCTATCAATTGGTACATGGGCAAAGGCATGCTTCGATTTTGTTACTAAGAAACTCATGTATCTTTGTCGCGTTGACGAATGTTTAACAGGTGCTTAATTATGTGGCCGACGCACGATTGAATGCAGCTTAGTTTGGGCTACATACAACTATCAACAAGTTTGATCCTCAATAATTTTTCACTTGAAGGGGACTCCGTTAGCATCATCCTTCGACTTCAAAGGCCAGTCTACTCCGACGATCAAACTGCTACTCGAAGTCTGTAAACAGATGCTTTCATCTTTATAAGAGTTCAGGCTCGATCATATACGGAGTGGAGGCAGTTCGTGTGTGGACTCTATGACCAATGATGAGCAGATATTGGCTTTGACGGCTGTACTCACTCGGAGCTTCCTCCCTACACTTGTTCAAATGGCCAGGGAGCATTTGCTACTTATTACGATGTACAAGGGTGTTTGCGAAAAAAAATCGTAAATAGGAATATCAATGTAAATGTGGTTGCATTTTTGTAGTGTTTACCTATATACTCCTCAAATCTATTTATTGTGAAAAATTACCCTTCAAATATTCATTTTTTTTTCCAATTTGCCTCAATTTACAGGTAAATCTTTTAAATTATGGGTTCAATTGACCATATTCAAGTACGCATAAATTACAGTTATCCATTGCAAAGGTTAGCCACATAGGATTTATCCCCTGATATATATTATTTTTTTATCTAACCGTTATCTCAAAAAGCTAATATAGATTAAAATTAATATTTATATTTTTACAAAATGGGAGTCCCAACACTTCACACCAAAATGGTTTAATATTTAATCTTGAAAAAAAAGTTATAAAGAATGTAAGTAATCTGTTATAATTACCCTCGGCCATGTACAATGTTTTCTAAAATGGGTCCATGAGAACTATTTACAAAATCAGAGTATTTGGCAAATTCAACCGAGGAAGAATGACTCTTGGATGTGGCGCCAACTCTTAAAAGTGAGAGATTTGGTGATAAGCAGATTTGGAAGTATGGGGAATATTCAAGGTGTTCTAGATAGCTGTCTCAAAGATGGTAACATTCAAATCTCTTCTATATACAAGGCCATTTCTTACTCTTCGGCTACTGTAAACTGGTCGAAGTCAGTTTGGGGGGGCTTGCACTATCCCAAACACTCTTTGATTATGTGGCTTGCCATCCTCTCGAGGCTGCTGACTAAAGACAGACTATATCGCATGAAGATCTTGGAAGCTAATCAGAATCAATGTGTATTGTGCACAGGCTCTGCAAACAGGCCAGAATCTAAAAATCACCTCTTCTTCGAGTGTCAATACTCAGCTTCTGTCTGGAATGATATGATGGAATGGTTAGGCTTTACTTGGAGATCATGTGATTGGAATTGTGTGATGAATTGGTTTAATAACAACCTGAAGGGGTTAGGATTTATGAAGAAGGTGAAGAGAATGGTGCTGTCAGCAACAATATATTGGATATGGAAGGAGAGGAACTCAAGAATTTTTCAGCAAAAATGTAGAAGCTCCGATCAACTTGTGAGGGAGGTGAAGATTTCTGTCCTTATGAAAGTGCTGCAGGAAAAAGTTCCAGACCATTTGAGAGAAAGAATTAATAGATTGTAAATAAGTTAGTTTTTTGTTCTTGGTTGCCAGACCATTCTGGTTCTTGATGTGCTCTCATTTCAAAATTGGGAAAATGAATAAAATTTTTTCATTTACCAAAAAAAAAAATGTTTTCTAAAATTATATTAATATTCTACAAATATAAGACATTTACTGTCCTACCCTCCTTACCATTTCTAGTAATAAAGTGGGCTAAGGCCTTTATTTTTATTAAAAGAAAAAGACATTTTATTGTAAGTTGGATGTAACAAAACAATTTATCAATAAGAGACTGTTTGGTTCACCTATTTTATGGAAAACTTTTGAGAAAACACCTGACGATAATGTTATCGTAAATAATAGATTTCTTCTATAAATTGTGTTTGGTTCCAAATAAAATTATAGAAATATTTTCTATAAAGTAGGGAAAAGTGTACTATTTTATAGAAATCAACTTCCTCGGTGAAAATTGCAAGAAAATCTAACGCATATATTAAAAAATTAATTAAGTACACCGGTACTATTCCCATGGGCATGGTTAGTAAGCTATTTTCATAGTGTTTGGTTGGCTGAGAAACTAAGAAAAGGAAATCAAAACGCCTGACACACCCATGTGAAGGTTTTTGATTTCCTTTTCTTGTGTTTGGTTGAGAGAGGAAAAAAAGAGATGTTGTGCATGTGAGACCCACCCACTAGTAAGATAATAGTGTCATGGATCCCAAATTTAAGGAAACTCATTTTCTCCCAAAAAATCATGAAATTGGTTTGAAAATATGAAAATGGATCTCACAACCTATTTCTCATAAGTAATCTCCCAAACTTAGATTTCTAGGAAATGAACCAAACAACTCATAAAGTGATATCCAACCAAACAAAAGAAAAAGAAAACAACATATCTATTCTTTTATACAAATGGGAGAAACAAAGAGTCACTGTTCATGCTACAGTAAATGATACAGTAGATTTACTGTAGCAGTATTACTGTAGCAGCTGAGAAATTCAAAAGCCACTGTAGCAGATCGGTTACTGTAGCAGCTCGGGAATGGCACTGTAGCAGGCGAGTTACTGTAGCACCCCAGAAAATTCAAACCGGGAGAGTTTAAAAACGGCGGGAACACTGTAGCAAAAAAAAAAAAAAAAAAAACACCGTGCTGCGCACGGGCTGCACACTAGTAAGAAAAGGAAAAGGAAAACATCCAATATATAAATTTACTTGTATTTCTTAAAAAAATTATAGAAAAAGTTTTGATAAGTCAAAAAGTACTACTTTTTTTTATATACTTTGCTTGTTTGGTTCAAAACAAGAAAATTGGCTTATAACTTTATATAAATAGCAAGTTTTTCTTTTTTTTTGTTTGGTTACATATGCCAAATTTATAAAAAAGTGTCAATTACCATATTTATCACTTTATAACGGCTAGTTTCACATTCTCAAATCTTATAAAATTCTTCTAACTATCCATGAGCACAAAATTTCCACAATTAAAAACATGAGCAAGAGTGTTAGAGACCGTGGTGACTCGTCAAGTTCATCAAATCCAAATGTATGTATTTTGGGTTATAAAACTACAAATTCTACTAATATTTTCACAATGACTAGAGTCTAGTTTCTCTTTTTTGTAATTAGTGTACTCGGAAAATACTGCAGAAACCAACATATGAAGAATTATTTTCATATACAGATGAAGATTGAGAGCGTGATGAGATGTGAGATATAATGGAAGAAGTATAAATAATGCTAAGAGCCAATGCTTTGAAAGTTAGAGACCAAAACGGGTGGTGGAAGTGTCCCTATTGCAACGATATCCCCTACACAAATTGGAATATGAATGATATCTTAACTCACGCGCACAACATTGGTAACAATGGGTCTGTGCGCAACATGGGTAAAGAGGAGATTGGCCAGCATCGTTGACTAGAAGTTTATTTACTTTGGTTATATCAAAATCAGTGATCTAAATAAATCATCTATCACTTTGGCAATTTCATGTCGTAATTTGGCAATTTCATGTCGTAATTTGGCTCAGCTATTAGTCTTTTATCAAATTTGATTGCCTCAATTGAAATGTACAAGTTCACGTAGATTGCGTTTTAATAACGTAGTAAAAAACACCTTATCTTATTATGAACATTATAAATTAGTTTGCAATCTTATTTAGGTGGCCATCATCATTGCCAAAAGAATATTATTTATAACACTATAATAACATAAAAAACAACTATCCAAGGATATATGCTAGAATTAAGCCATAACAGTAACAAAATTAGCTACAATAGTAGTTATTACCAAAGAATTTTCTTTATAGTCAACTGCTCAAATGATTGATGATCAACATGCTAATTAAGCCATAACAGTAACAAAATCGAGACCTAAGCAAGATTTGATAATCGACTAAAAATCAAATGAAACAATTGAAAAAACAACAGAATAATCTCAGATAATAAAGGGGGTTTAGGGGTTTATTTTTATACCTCAATAGCTCAGAAGATCAATGGCGGAATCACGAATTAGCAGCAAGAACGCTAACGAACTAGAGCGAAGCCCTAGATCTTCGAGCTCGCTAGCGATTGGCGGGAATAATCCATGATGAGAGCTCAAGGTAAGGAAAACTCGAGCGGGAGAATGAGTTTGGGGGCGGAAGCGAAGGAAGAAGCCCTAGAAATTTTCCGAGTTCTAGCGACAACAAGAAAGTGAAGTGGGGGTGAAAATGTGGTTAGGGGGTAGGTTTAATAAATTAATAATGTGTTAGTTTTTTGGGTGTTTTCAGTTCATTTTGAGTGGAAAATAATTTTTATAAAATTGTACAGTTTTCTAACTTTACAGAAAACTTTTTTGTAAATTCAATGTTGAACCAAATACAGTTTATGAAAATTGTGAGAAAATTTTTATTTACGAAACTGCCACCGTCAAAACATTTTCCAAAACTTTTCTATAAAACACCATAAGCAAACACCCCATAAAGTTAGAAACTTTTTCATACTTTGAACGAGACAAAGAAATAGCAAAAAATAAGAAATATGATACTTTTTGAGTTCTATAAGTTTTTCCTACAAATTTTATAAAAATACAAAAAAAATTAAATTTTGAGTACTTTTCTTTTCCCTCTTCTTTATGGAAATTGTACCAAACAGCACATGCCCGACGTAGATAACTGATGCTTTTAACTATTTTTCATTTTCATTTTTATATTTAACTTTAATTAATTTAATTGAACACAACCGGGTCCGGTCAGGTACAACGCGTTTGGACCCAAAATTAAACGGGTTATAGGTTTAAAAGAACTGACCGATCCAACTACGTCGATCGAAACACTTTTAGGTACTCTTATCTTATGACTTAGGTTCATCATACCGGCCGTCACCCAAAGCACTCTTAAACCCTAGACATCTTCTCTTCGTTTTCCCTTTTTCTGGCGAACTTAGGGTTTTGCCCTCATATTAATCGAAAGTACAGGTATTTTCCCATCAATTTTTCTTATTTTTGAAGTTAATTTAATTCTCTAAGTCATTATTCATCACAAAAGATTGTAAAAGTAAGTTGTTTTATTTTCTAGGGTTCCGTTAATTAATCAAAAATGGTGAAGAAGAGCAAGAGTAAGTTTTATCCAACCAAAAATTTCAATTTTTTGGTTTCATAGTTACATTTTGTTGATTTTGTTTGAATTGTGTTGTAATCTAGAGAGTAAGAGTAAGCGGATATCTCTTAAAAAGAAGCACAAGATTATAAGGAAAGTGAAGGAGCATCATAGGAAGAAGGCGAAGGAAGCAAAGAAGCTTGGATTGAATCGAAAACAGAAGGTTGAGAAGGATCCAGGCATCCCCAATGATTGGCCTTTTAAGGAGGAGGAGCTTAAGGCTCTCGAAGCCCGGAGAGCCCGTAAATTGGAGGAATTGGAGCAGAAAAAAGCTGCTAGAAAAGAGAGGGTACCCATCTTTCTTATCCTGAAGAATTTCATTTCTCGAGAGATATTGGTTTCATTGATAGAATTTAATTTTGTAGTTAGTTTATCTACAAACATAAATAAATAATTGTCACGATTAAAGCTCACACATTCTCGTAATGGTAATTGTGCACTTTATTGTTATCCTCAAGACACCAAGAATGTTGATAATTACAACATAAAGAATCTAGGAAGCTTATTTTGTTGAACCAAATGTATTTCAGTAAATTGGCAAGCATTTTTGTTTGTCACACTAGTAATTGACTTATGAATGATTATACTTGTGATCTTCATGCTCGGAGAAGAGAAGTGAATTTGCTCGGGTACCCATATTTTCTATCCCTTAGGTTTTCATCTCTGACATGTTGGTTTACTTGAAATTGATTAATTGCTAGTTATCCTGCAAACTTAAATAAGCAATAATTATGTTCGATATGCACCTTCTGGTTGTTTCAGAATGGTGGTACTGGCAGGATAAGGGTTGAGAATCTAGGATGGTTATTCAAGCAGAACCTTGCATGCTTCAGTAAATTTGGATGAATTTCTGGTTTTTGCGTTAGTAATTGGTTTCGTCAAATTTTAAATGATGATATTCATGTTCTTCAGGCTCAGAAGAGAAAATTGGGTTTGCTTGAGAACGATGATCTTGAGTCTGAAAACAGGACTATAGAGGAAGAGGCTTCAGCAATACCAAAAAGTCATGGTACTGCAGCATATAAGTTACATCGTTTACAATGCATGCATTTGATATGTTTTATTTTGGTATATTTGGTTTGTCTAATTGATGAGAGTGGTCATTCAAATAGATACTGTCTCTGACTAAAAGTTAATTTTGCAGATCACTCTGAGAGAGCCTTCTATAAGGAGCTGGTTAAAGTGATAGAAGCATCAGATGTGATCGTGGAGGTTCTTGATGCACGAGATCCACTTGGCACTCGTTGTGTTGACATGGAAAAGATGATATTTAAAGCTGATCCAAATAAAAGGCTTGTTTTACTTCTGAACAAGATAGGTATTAACTTTTTCTCCTCGTTTATCTAGGTACAAAAATTATCTTGAAGGTTGAATTACCTTTTAACATTTGTGCAGTGGGTTCATGCTTATTGTTCCAAGATGTATACATTCAATATGAACTAAATAATTCCATGTGTGGGCTGATATTGTTCATCTTCATGCTCCTAATTATATTTTTGTATGAATCACAGATTTGGTTCCTCGGGAGGCTGTCGAGAAATGGCTCAAGTATCTAAGAGGAGAGCACCCTGCAGTGGCCTTTAAGTGTAGCACACAAGAACAGAGGTCAAATTTAGGGTGGAAATCTTCATCGAAGACGGCAAAACCAAGCAAAATTCTGCAAACAAGTGATTGTCTAGGAGCTGACACCCTTATAAAACTATTAAAGAATTATTCTCGAAGTTGTGAGGTATGTTGAACTGGTTGTCTTTTAATAACAATGAAATTGAGTGATATTTTAGTACTTATATGGCATGACTTAGGCATCTTAATCATATCCTATGATATATTGATGTTTCTGATTGTCAATTTTTTGTTGTACATGCTTTGGGAAATTTAGTATCTTAACTTATAGATCCTTTTGCTTGATTGTTTCTTGTCTTTTAGCTTATTATGTGAGAACAAGTTTCCATACAACTTCCCCAAAATAATTGTATTTTTGAGTCTAAGTTGAACTGCAGAGAAGTTATTCTTTGTAGTATTCAGCATTCATGTTAGAGAATATTTTTCTTGTATTTTATTGATGGCTGTTGGAACTTACTTGCTCCTCGATTATTTTGAACCTGATAGAAATGCTCTTGCTTTTGATGAACCAATATCCGGGTATAGGAAGGATGGTGGATGGCTTGGTTAAGCAAAGTGTGGAAAAGTGTTGGGAATCTCATACTTTATTAAAAAAGGACTATTAACATTTGGTCACATATCTACTTGACCAGAACATATGCATTAAATCTACTGTTATTTCAATTTCAGAAGGAGAAGCTTATTTGTTTTTCTTGTTCACTTTGTCTAAGCTTTGTTTGTTGTTAACGAAACAATTCTAGGTTAGTCCTGTTTAGTAGTTTTACATTTATTAATATTTTTACATAGATCCTACTTTTAGGCCCGGAAGAAAGTTTGTTGTTTTTATTGATGAATTTAAGTTCGATGGAACCTGAATTCACTATGATGATTTTGTTAATTTTGTTCAGATGGTGCATTGCTTCTGGTATGTTTGTCAATTGAACTAATTGTTTCTGTTGCCTGATAACGTAATGCCATAACTTATTTATTAGCACATATAGAAGCATGGTTGATATTCTACAACGTCTATTGAAGTTTAGGCTGTTGCCTAACTGTTATTAGTTCATTTTTTCAAATGTTGCCGGTCTTTATCTAGTTTTTGTTGATGAATGAAACTACAATGCTTTGTTCTTTTTTTTCAGCTTAAAGTGTCAATTACGGTGGGTATTGTTGGGCTGCCCAATGTTGGCAAGAGTAGTCTGATCAATAGCTTGAAGAGATCTCATGTAGCCAATGTTGGTGCGACACCCGGATTGACAAGATCGATGCAAGAGATTCAATTAGATAAGAACGTCAAGCTATTGGACTGCCCTGGAGTCGTAATGCTCAGGTCTGGTGAGAGTGATGCAGCAATAGCCCTCCGCAACTGCAAAAGAATTGAAAAGCTGGATGACCCGATTGCTCCAGGTAAAATCCGTTTAAAACACAGACTAATCCTTTCTGGCAGTCATACTAGCCATTTGGAATGGCAAATGCCTGACCAGGCTGACCTATAACTACTCAGTTTCTGAGATTTGGTTCTCCTTTTACCTTTTTGAGTGGCTATAACTCGTAGTTTTTTTTGTCATTTTTGCAATGTTACATTAAACATTGGGCGCTTCTAGGCGTCGGACTTGACGCCCAGCGCTTAGTCGCCTAGGCGGGCGCCTAAGCGGATTCTGGGCGTTTTTTTTTAATTGTGATACTTGAATATATATATATATAATATATATATACTCAATCAAATATGCATAAATACTAAAATACCAACACCATTAACTAAATTGCTTGGTTTACCAATTACAATAGCTCTTTGTATGTTTATATTTCTCAACTCAAATTATAAGTTCATCTCAACAGTGAAAAACTCATTCTCAACTCAAATTACTGTTAACTTATAAGTTACTGTTAAGTTTAAGTTAACAATAAGCTTAAACTTAAATTTACTATTAACTAAAATATTGTTAACTTAAGTTTATTGTTTACTTAAACTTAAGTTTACCATCAACAAAAAACCTAATATTAACTTAAACTTAAACTTAAGTTTACTGTTAGCTTAAACTTAAGTTTAACTTACACTTCTTAAGTTTAAGTTACTGTTGTTAACTAACTTAAATAGATATTTAAAAAGTACTCTTTATCTTGTTAGTAGTTACAGAGATCGGAGGAGCTCGACAATGTTACAGAAGGCGTTAGGCAGACTAGGCGTTTGAGCGAGCGCCTAGACCCCTGGGCGTGCGTCCAGACGTTTGACTATTTTTAAATTATTTAATTATAATAATTGATAAAAATATATATTAAATTCATATATAATTTTTCAAAAAAAAGATAGCAATCTTAGTTCCGCAATAAATCATGCATACTTAGATACTAAATAGCCAAAATAATAATTAACAATGCTAGAGCTTAAGATGTTTTTTTATTTTTATTTTTAATTACAATAATTGATAGTGAATGTTAATGTTATAGAAAGCTTAGATGCCGGACCGGTGCCTAGGCGGATTTTTTTCTTTAAGTGAGGGCCAGTGAGGTTTTGCTGAAGTTTGGAGGAGGTAGTGGAGGTGTTCATATTTGGAGGTTAATGGAGTTTGGAGGATGTGTAGGCTACAACACATAAAATCACAACCAAGGCCTACAGGGTGCAATCCACGTAAGCAGACAATGCTCCCCTAAACGCTCGTAAAATCTAGATGTGCAGCCTAAATACCGCCTAGGTGCTAGGCGCTAGTTAGGCGGCCTAGGTATCCTAGGCGTATGCCTAAGCGGACTAGGCGGAGGGTTTTTAAAACAGTGCATTTTTGGATGTATGTCCCAGATTTTGAGGTTGTCTCAGGTTTAGAACTGCAACTTGTAAGTTTTTTTGTATATTTTGAGATTCCTTTTAATCTCCAGAAGTAAACACATAGCCTTATTACACTTGGATTTTGATCTTTGTTGATTATAAATGAACTTTTTTTTTGTTACACTCGAAATTTGATCTTTGTGGATCATGAAACATTGCAGTTAAGGAGATCCTCAAACTATGCCCTGCCGAGAGGTTGATATCACTGTACAAGTTGCCTAGCTTTAGTTCCGTAGACGACTTTCTTCAGAAGGTTGCTACTGTCAGAGGGAAGCTAAAAAAGGGAGGTATTATCGATGTTGAAGCTGCAGCGAGGATAGTGCTGCATGACTGGAATGAGGGTATGTGCCCTTAATGTTTGTATTATAACTGCATTTTGATCTGCCGTTCTAACTCTTTGTACTTTGTTTTAAGGAAAAATTCCATATTATACACTTCCTCCTACAAGGGATGCGGTGAATTTGGAGACAACTATTTTGTCAGAGTTTACCAAAGAGTTTGACATTGATGAGGTTTACAAGACCGAGTCTTCATTCATCGGTAGCCTTGCATCTGCTGAAGATTTCCGTCACGTTGAAGTCCCTCCAGGCTCCCCCCTGAATTTTGACGAGCAGATGCTAGAGGAGGTAATGTTCTTATTTGCTTTTATATTTCCCTGTAGCAGCAACTGATAAGCATGATTTCGAACTTGTGAGTTTCGTTTTAGCAAACTTGTTTACAATAATTTCTCTTGGAGATATTACTATCAGCATCATTCAGCATTATTATCAGGTTCATGTTTAAACCTGCTTGTTAACCATCTTTCTCATGTCTAAGGCAACTCAATTGTATTGTACACTAGAAGGCTGGAAACAAACATAGTGTTGCATGCTACATGAATTTCTTGAATTTTTCAAATGGGAAAGGGGTATGCGAGGGTCTAACTAGGGTAGTTTTATTTTCTTGTCTCTTTGGGCTGTTATCACCTTTTCTGGGGTCATGCTTTTTAATTGAATAACTTGTAGTAATGATCTCTAATAACTTCTAATCACCTTTCATCTGATTAAATTTTTTATGAATTTAAAAGTTGCCTAGCATATTTAGATTCTAGAATTGAAAATGTGTAGATATATATCATTGTCGTTCTAGTACATGAATTCTTTCTAATGGAATAACTTGTATTAATGATCTCTAATAACTTCTAACAGCTTTATATCTGATTAAAGTTTTATGAATTTTAAAGTTGGCTAGCATATTTAGAATTGAAAATGTATAGATATATGTTATTGTCGTACATGTCATTGACATTCTAGTACATGAATTCTTTCTAATTGAATAACTTGTATTAATGATCTTTAATAACTTCTAATGGCTTTTTATCTGATTAAAAGTTTTGTGAAATTTTAAGTTGGCTGGTATGTTTAGAATAGAAAATGTGTAGATATATGTCATTGTTGTACATGTTATTGTCATTCTAGTACATGAATGCTTTCTAATTAAAACTTGTATTAGTGACCTCTGATAACTTCTAATGGCTTTTCATCTGATTGAATTAATTTTAAAGCAGGCTAGCATATTTAGAATTGAAAATGTGTAGAAATATGTCATTGTCATTTTAATACATACATGAATTCTTTCTTCTGATTAACTTTTTATGAATTTCGAAGTTGCCTAGCATATTTAGAATTGAAAAATGTGTAGATATATGTCATACATACATCATTGTCATTCTAGTAGATGAATTGCATATTTCACTATTTTTAAGATCAGAGGAACTATTTAAAATTGAAAATGTGTAGATATCAGTTTTCAGCAGAGCGTGTCATTGTCATTGCAGTACATGAGGTGCATCGTTCTCTATCTTTAAGATCAGAAGAGCTTGTGCGAGATTTCAGTTCTCTTAGTAACCAACAGAGAGTTACAGACTCTGTGTTTTGCTTATTGTATCAACATAACCTCGGTTATTTCAGGATAACGCTGAGCACAAGGAAATAAGTCCAATGGATGAACCGATGGCTTCTGAAGAAAAAGACCCTATAGAGACAAAAACAACCACAAAAGGCAAACAAAATGACAAGCTATACACCGCTGAAGGCATACTAGATCCACGCAAACGAAGAGCCGAGAAGAAATCGAGGAAAGCCAACAAGAAAAACTCGGCAAATCAAATGGACGCTGACTATGATTTTAAGGTGGATTATCAAATGAAGGATTCTACTTCGGATGTTAATACAGTCGATGAGGATGACAAGGACGGGGATAATGAAACTACTGAAGAGGCGCCTATGGCCGGAGTTGAAATAGATGCCTAAAAAATTTAAAGCAAATTGCAAAGGCACTCTGTTCTCGTTGAAAACCATGAGATTGATATCAATTTTGTACTGTGGAGATCCTGACGTGTTCCTTTTTTTCTTATTTTTACCCCTTTATTATGTGAGTAGAACTGTAGGGCTGGGGCACCAAGAAACATGTTTACATATTTACATGGTATTTATGTGAATGCCTACTTTAGAACCTTTTGATTACTACTTTATGCCGTTGAGATGGATCCTGTTACTTCATATTTTGCATGCTTCGATCTGTAATTTTTACTTGTTTTGTGAACGCGCTGAAGCTTTGAATAGATCCGAGGTTCTAGTTGTCTTACATTTAGGGGTGGTAAATGATCGGATCGAATTGAATATTAAGGTGTTCATATTTGTATTTGTTTAAAATTATCAAATTCGAATGCGGACTCTAATATTCATATATCTAGTTTTTCGAATTCGAACTCGAATACTTGGTATTTGATAAATATTTATGAATATTCACGAATACTTATTGAAAATCAAAGTATATTTATTTTGCTAAAGAGTTTGATTTTCAAATAGTATTAAAATTCATAAATAAAAATTATGCTAAAGAGTTTGATTTTCAAATAGTATTAAAATTCATAAATAAAAATTATTTCTTTATAATATATGATGTATATATATTTAAATCAAAATTTTAATTAGAAAACAGATTTAAGATTATTTAAGTCTTAAAATCTATATATAAAACTTAAGTAGAAATGGTAAGTGGGTTAAAAATATGACATCATATGTGTAATAATACAAATAATAAGCTGTGATCAAATTTTAAACGAATATTTAATAGACAAACGAATCGAATATACATCTGGTTAAATTCTATTCGTTAATAAACTCGAATACTAAAAAAAATACTTGTTTAGTGATAAATGAACTATCGAATCGAATATGACCGAATAGTTATTCGAACAATTATCGAACCATTTATTAATTATTTGGTTCATTTCCACCCCTACTTACATTATTGAGTCATTGAAGCCAATAATACAAAATAAAATTATACAGGTCAAGAAAGGGGACTTGAAAATAAACAAAAAACATTTTAGTTGAAAGTCGCAGAGAAACCCAGTTCCTTCTACCCCAGGATTATTTTGAACTTGTTAGTAAACATGCAGACGCCAGTCAGCATCCGAGACTGCCAAGATTTACTTTGAAATTTTCACCAACGATTCATGTCAATTTTGTAGACTGGACTACAAGACTTCTACTAACGTAAGTACAAGTCATTAGAGATTATCTTCGCTTGGTAGACGATTCCAACGTCAAAGGTGAAAATGTTACAAAAACAACCGATAATATCAGGGGTTTTGCATAAAAACAATACCCATAACAACAATAGTGGTCATGTTTTAAAATACTAGTACTCAACATGTGCTTTGCACGTGATGCATATTAAGTAATGATATGAGACTAAAACACATTTGAAGGTCATCTCACATTGCACTCGCCCATGATTTTTTTTTCTAAGAACAACGAAGAGGACTCAAACAGAGCCTCTAGCCACCCACTCGCCAATGGATACATTTGAAGGTCATCTCACATTGCACTCGCCCATGACTTTTTTTCTAAGAATAACGAAGAGGTCTCAAACAGATCCTCCAGCCACCCACTCGCCATGGATTTATTGGCATTTATATTAGTTTTTTCTCTCCACGAAATTGCATACATGTATAACTTATTGATATTTTTTTTCATGAATTAGAGGTGAAATCGGTTGCAGATCTGTTCGTTAACTAAAAAAACAATACAATTTTCTCTCTTAATTATCGTCTGTAAAATCTTATTGACTGCAATGTGTCCTGGTTACTATAATCGAGGAACTGATTCCACTGTTAAAATTCTCGCTTCCTCCATTCTTTTTCTTTTGACTCTTTTAGTGTTTCCTTTTGTGCATTTGAGAATCCATATATAACATAATTTTATGCAACTCTTGTCTAAGTGGAACGTTTATGAAAGTAGACAAGTCGTAAAATTATTAGTGCATAATTAATGAAGAGAATTTGATTAGCCAGTAAGAGAATATACATGAATCCTTTAATTATAGATTCATTTTCTCAATAAAATTCATATTAAATGCATTATTTGTGGGTTTACAAGAGAAGATGTCATAAATTACTTCATTAGCTAGGATTCAATCATTGTATTGCAAATAGTTTTTTCACAAAAAAATATATTAAGATACATCACAACTAACTAAAAAACCCAGAAGCACAACAAAAGAATGAGGATTAACATTGCTCCTGATCAGATTGTAAACATTGTGTAAAAATGATGGTTAGTCTTGCAATACCACAAAATCATTAATTTTCTTAGCTCTTCGGACCAACACATGAGCCGTTATATTCTCCATTGATGAACTATCTAAAAAAACTCATTCCTCAAGTCATGTGCAACATCGTTGAATATCATCCACAAAGTGTCCAAAAATTGAGTGTTGCTCCAACCCATTACGGATATCTCTAATTACTGCATCCTCATCTTCTTTAAAAATTATCTTTCCTCATCTAACGTCAAGAGCAAATGTAATAGTTTCCCACACTGCTTAGAATTCTGCATGCTTAGAATTACATTGTATCCAAATACTATGATAAGTATATCGCAATAGTTAATAATATATATTATGATAATTTATACGTTATTTCTAGACTACACCAAGAGGTTAACATTTATATTGGTATTCCTTACACATCAGATGCACATATCAATATATTATATAGCATTGGATTAGATGTTAGATGTTTAATTAAATATTTAATTATCATAAATTATGGTATAATTTATAAATATAAGTTATGATATTATTATCTTATATATTATAATTGTATATTTATTGTGTAATATCTAATATCTAAAGTGAAATATTTATCTTATTAAACATAACACTAATATTGGTAAAACTTATAATATATCAGTTCTTATGTTTAGTGCAAGAATAATTATAGTGTAAGAAATAGAATGAATTGAATAAAATTTACGATTAAAATTATAATATATATTTAGTTTTTAGTATTAGTTCTCATGTTTATTTTAAGAATAATTATAGTACTGTAATAAATAGAATGAATTGAATAAATTTTAAGGCATTATTGTGAATTATCAAATTTTGGAAGGGTAAAGGAGGCAATCAAAAGTTTTAACAGCCCAATCCTTTTTTATATGTGGTATAGATAAATGGTTTAAGATTTTTTGCGGGATAAAAATCTATAAATTAATCGTAGTCATGTAAGAGGTCAAATTAAAGATGAACATAAAATAGGTGCTTCATCAAGCACGCTAAGGAAGCAAACAAACAAATATATCAGCACATGTCAATATTAGTGAAACGGCGTGAATCAAATTTCACTGAGAATTCAACATTCAAAAATATACTGCAACTTTCACTAAAACACAAATAATAATAATAATAATAACATGCACCTACCAATATGTGAATTTTCTTTGGTACACGTGGATAGCTACCCCCTAATCTGTCCCCTTCGTACAAGAAATGGAATCAGCAATTAGAAGAAGTTGCATTTATCCAATATTTTAAAACAGCGTATTGCGCCCTTCACATGCCACAAAACAATTAATTTTTAATAGTTAATAATTATTTCCTTATTTTGTTTTCACTTATAAACAACGAGTCTAAAGCTACTAGTTGCGGTACTTATCGAATTATTTCCTTATTTTATTTTACTACGAAAGTCGTTTGAGATTCATAATTTATATCTATTACTAAAAACTCTTATCCTTGCACACACCACTTGGTAATTTCTTCTTTTAAAAAAAAAATCTTTTTAATATTCAATGACACATTTTCTTCAACTTCCAAGATCATTAATCTATATCTATTACTAAAAACTCTTATCCTTGCACACACCACTTGGTAATTTCTTCTTTTGCATTTTTGTCTTTTAGGAGGAAACTTATGTGCATGGAGAATTAATATTTGTAGAATTTTATGAATGCTCAAAATTGATCAGTAAAGTTCTAACAAGCTAAAATTATGTCAATTTCATTTTATGAATACTCAAAATTGATCAGTAACACTCTGTTCTTGTGGTTTCTAAACAAATTTAATTAATTTTAGCATATTTATCTGAGATAAGGTTTTACTTTGTTCATAGCTAGCAATTTCTGTTATATTCCTTGCAGATCTATGTACTTATTTTACAAAAATAGATAGATACAACTATCTGGCCCCAGCTTTGCTTCTTCTATACGATTTTAAGTAGATATGATCTTCTCAGTGGTGGGAATAATCTGTCATGCTTTGTATTATACTTTATATTAGTACCCTTTGAGTTTTTCTTTTCATTTTTAGCTTGCCTTCTGATGGAATTATGCAAAGTCTTTTTCTACCACTAATTATGATAAGCTTAGAGGAACTCAAGAACTAATAAAGTGTCATTTAGCGACACAAATAAATAATTATTACTCCAATGTTATGCATACCCCTATCTTAACTAAGTTGTTGGAGGATGCCCAAACATTCGGTTCCTATCTTGAATATGACATTCTTTCATATAAGTTACTCACAAGCCACTTGACAATATTAGGTTAGAAATATGATTTGTTTCACATACTCCATCAAACCACCTACTATTTTATATTAGGTTAGAAATATGATTTGTTTCACATACTCCATCAAACCACCTACTATTTTGGTTGGCAATTTTAGTCCTTCTTCTTATCTGTCTTTACTACCCTACTATTTTGGTTGGCAATTTTAGTCCTTCTTCTTATCTGTCTTTACTACTACTGATTTCAATAAGCCCAGTTTGATGATGATGGCTTTTCATAGATCAAAACTTTGTTGTCTTGTGTAGATAAGCGGATTAATAATTTGATAATTGATATGATTCTTTTGTTGTCTTTTTAGAATTACCACATAGTATCAGTAGTATCTTGGTGCACGCAACACACACTTGACTCCAAAATGGTTATTTGTTAGTGTTTTTTTTTTCGTTTGGGGTTTTCCCAAATGTGTGGGCATTGGTTTGGTTTTTCCAATTGTGAGAACATTTCCTTTGGTTTTCCAAGTGTGAGGCTATTTTTGTGTTATTATTTCCAAGTGTGAGGTGTTTTGAGTTTTTGCCTCTATCAAGTTTAATGTACTCTTCCTGTGACTTGCTTAAAAAAATTTAGATTCTAATTATTGCTGAAATTAGGTTATAAAATATATTTCTTAGTTTTTGAACAAGAGAATTAGTTTTGTAGTAGTTTGAGATTAATTAGTAGATTTTTGAATAAATTCATGTTCAAGATTTGCACCATTCCTTTGTACACTGCAAAAGTCAGGCTTCAGCTTCAAAAGAAAGCGGTTTCAAGAGATGTAGCGACTTTACCAAAATACAGAGACATGTTAGGCAATGTATCTACAATTGCTAGAGAAGAAGGCATGGCAGCACTTTGAAAAGGTATTGTGCCAGGATTACATCGTCAATGTGTATTTGGAGGCCTACGGATTGGACTGTATGAGCCGATAAGCTTATACTATTTATCAAATGGGAATTTGCTTGATATTTGTATTCCTTAATTGTTAGTTGTTGGCTCTTTTGTTAGGTTAAATCCTTGTATGTTTGTGAGAATTTCGTTGGAGATATTCCTCTAACCAAGAAAATACTTGTTGGCCTTACAACTGGTAGGTCTAGGTCCATTTTATAGTTTAATTCATAATGTCTGTGTCAGTGAAACTGCATCTGTTTGACCAATTTACATTTGAGTTTTTTTAATTTCTAAGGTAAGATTTCTTGTTTGACCAATTTACATTTGAGTTTTTTTAATTTCTAAGGTAAGATTTCTTCTTTGGGCTACTCCTGACAATTTTATAACATGTTTGTTGAGTTTTTTTAATTTCTAAGGTAAGATTTCTTCTTTGGGCTACTCCTGACAATTTTATAACATGTTTATGTTATAATTTTCAAATATGTGCTATAGCAATAACAGTCGCTAATCCAACTGATTTGGTGAAAGTACGACTTCAAGCTGAAGGAAAGCTTCCAACAGGTGTACCAAGACGTTGTTTAGGAGCTCCGAATGCTTACTCTACTATAGTCAGACAGGTTTTATATTGAACTCCAATTAATTCTACCTTTTTCAATCATGTTATTTTACTGAAGTTGTCAAAGATTTCAAAATGTTAGGAAGGAGTTTGTGCTCTGCGGACTTGGATTGGCCCTAATGTTGCATGTAATGCTATAATAAATGCTACAGAATTGGCAAGTTATGACCAAGTGAAATAGGTTTATATTCCAGTCATTAAAGAAGATTCTCATTGGATATTTTTGTATCCTTTTATTATAGCATTACGTGTATGTAGTGGTGCATGTTTGACAAACTAAAATTTTATTTTTCAATTCATGTATCTTATTGAATACAAGTGTATTTTTCTTTTCTTTCTATATAATTATATTTTTCTGTTTCAGATCTGTTTGTTTCTTTATTTATCTTTACTATTGGTAAGTGATGAACTCAATATAATCTTATTAGAATGTATTTCTCTTATATTATGTTTTGTTATTTTTCTCCAATGGCAATGCATTTCACTTCAATATTTTTGTTCTTTCTTATGTTTATATAGAGTATGTGAAAGTTACATTTTATTTAACTAATTGAGTACTTCTTATGTTGTATTCTTATGGTTTAATGATGTTCTTAAATTACAATCATATACAATTTTCTTACACTGACTTTATTTGATTTAGGTATTACATTGTCTCTTATTTTCGTCAGGTAGATGTCATACACCCCTTATATGATAGGTATTATATTTTCTTTGTTTTTTGACATTATACTTTTATTTTACCAATTTCTTTGGAAAGTTATAACGGTTTAAATATTGATATGACTCGCACAAAATGTTCAAAAATTATCTTCCCATGTTTACATTTTTCCAAACCTTTCGTTTTTTTAATTTTTTTTAAGTTTACCCATTTTTGGTACTTTTTTGACATTTCACTTTAATTTTGAATTTTTTCTACCTTCTAAATAATAAAATAGCTCCCGTCATATTTCTGAATACTGTTTTTACACAATTACATTTTTTAAACTATATATGATCTTAAACTGATTCAAGTTTTCTAAACTTTCTAATTTTTCAAACTATATATGCAACTTAGGTTGTATCATTTCTAATTACTTATATATTATTACTGTTTTACTTTGCATTCTTTTGCTACATTAATTTTTTTATATTAAACAAATCCGTGCATCGCACGGGCCTGAAACTAGTACTAGTATATGGGTTGAGCTACCCTAGTATCAATAGTATTCAATTTGCGGATACTATCAAGTAAAACTTAAAAGTCGGATTCAGAAATTGAAGAAATCTAAACCGTTGGATATGATGTAATAAGCATGAACTACTTGCAAATGAATTCTGAAGAAACTTCCTTGTGTTTAGCTATCAATTAAGGAGCAAAAATTTAAGCAACCTTACAAAAAAAAACATTGATTTTGACGACATATAATATATGTGTAACATATGTTAAAATTTTGTCTTCGATGGTTCTAATAGCATCAATATGTTTGATGCTATTAATAGCAATCTAGCTCGACCCTATAGTATCATTCCTTCTGCTACACTTTCTAAATACAGGTTTCTCTAATAGTTTCAAATGTAGAGGGGTTCTATGCAAACACACCCCAAAGTCGAGGGGTTGTGTGGAATTTACACAATGAGGATTGACTCTAATTAGTTAATTAATAAATAATTAACTATCTCTCTAATCTTCGCTTATAAATAACAACTCAGAACGCCCACCATTAGAGGGAGGGGGAGAGAGAGAGAGAGAGAGAAGCAAAACTCGAACCTCCCCCAAAATGGATACGCTACCAGAGAGCTGCATCGCTCACGTGATATCCCTGACCTCGCCACGTGACTCGTGCACCGCGGCGGCGACGTCGGCGGC